AAAAAAAAAAAAAAAAAAAAAAACATCGTTTTGAACTTTTAGAAGTCGCACTTTACGATCAACTGAAACCAGACAAATTGTAGAGGCCTAGCGTTGGAAGGACCAACGTTCCCCGCCCCTTAATAGGTTGTACTCTATTCAAAATTCTGCTGCTGACAAGACAGAAAATCAGAAAATTGGAACGTTAAGCGGACAATGTCTTCGCCAATAGGTATATAGAATTACGAGCATATGCTTACAGAATCAGTTGAAATTTTGGTTGCCCATTTTCACTGACAGCTTTATCTGGCGTGCAATTGCAGTTGAACTCTGGGCAGAGATAGTTGAAGAGGAGGAACAAAATGAAGCCCCCGAGCCCGAAATTGCTGTAGTTTATCAGAGGCGAAAGACCTGTGTTAACCCTCAGGAAAACGTCTCGAGGTCTGCTTCTGTTTGGCTGCGATATTTTGTGCGATTTTTTTCTTTTTCCTTTTCATTTTGTTGTGTTTTTTGTTTTCTAATTGATGTGAATGTTACATGTCTCGGTGGTTTATTTTCATGGCAGGAGGCAATCGAGCTCAAGTAGTGGGAATGTATGTAGGAAGAGTATTGCGCCTGTGAAACGGGTCAGTTGGAACCGGTCCCTTTCTACCAGGTGTGTCTCCAATTTGAGTGCTTTTTGTTGCCTTTTAAGGGAATCGATGCGTGCGATGTAAGAGGCCGAATGGGAGATTTTAGTGAGAATTTGATTTCTTTTTCGAACAAATGGGAGTTTTTGTTTATCTAATCAGTTGGGTGAATCCCAAACTCTGTAGTTGATTAGCTTGCTTAAACATAGAACTCTATAGGGCTTATAAAGTAACGGGCCAATGGAGTTCTGTTTACTTGGTATCTTTAATTTATATACTTCCAATTTATTTTTTTTCAACTTTCTTTGGTTGTGGGCATAAGTACCGGGTTTGGAAATGCAAACCGTGGGCATTGCTATTCAAGTGTCATTAGCTAATCAGATTAGCGAGTTGAACAATACGAAAATGCAATGCTTTTTTAGTAGTCCTTGAATCTGCTCATTTACGTGTGTTTCTGACCATCTGATGGCCACACATTGAGTTCTTTACAGAAGAACAGAACGTTAAATTACACTGACTAAGCTGCAAATGTGTTTCGAATAAAAATCATAATGAACTAACTAATCGGATTTTTTGTTGACTAAAACAACAATGTAAATTGTTTGAGGTACTACAACTCTACATGGCTGGAGAAACTATGCGAAGATTGATAGCATAAACCGCAATAGTGTGGCTGATGTTTTCACCTGAGATTACTTTCGTTTATTAAGGGTCAAATATGGCCAATATAGACAAACAATGTTATTTTGTGGTTTTCTCTGGTGTCAACAAGTATCAGTGAAGGGTCTGAGAGAGAATGAGATGTCTAGTGTGTAACCTATGCTGTTGCTAGTTGAAATGTCAGGTTTGTCAAAGTATCATCAATATAATACCGGTCATGTACTCTGGGTGCTAGAACCCCATAAACTCACCTAACTGTATTTTAAGCACAAATGTGAAGTAGCAGGCAGAGCAGAATGCATAGGGAGAAGTGATGAGAAGTAGAACTTCAATTTGAAACAATAACCATAATTCTCATATGAAAAATGAGAAATATAAATTTGACAATGAGAAAGGTTTCTATTGTTTATCATGGTCAATAGATGAGTCTATTTGTCAACTTCATCACATGGTCAAATATAATAGTTGTAAGCATAGTGTCCAGAGGCACTTCTCTAGCTTGATGTAGAGAGTTCATCCTCGCAGAGGGCTTACTTGAAAAAACATGCTCCTCGAGAATATATATTTAATAAACTCCCCTATATCTTGAGATCTCCTTGCAGCGAGAAGCGCTGTTTTCTCTTTCTAAAGATTCCCCGGGGGAAAAAGAGAGATGTCTGCTAATTTGGTTGGACTATTTGTTTCTCAATAGTATTTGTTTGTTTTTTTCTGGTGAATGGAATGCTATAGTGCTATAGTAATCTGATCAATTATAAGTGCTATTAATTTGTAGAAGACAAAAGAATTCACCGTTCTAAGAGTTTAAGAAACGTATTTCCTACTGACAGAGGAAGAATAAGTATTGCTGTCACAACATATGCGGATCAACAACCACAACAAAGGAAGAGTAGAAGAAATGTTAAACCGCCTCTTCCAAGAGTATGGCTATATTAAGTTTCTACCTTTTCCATATTTCACTCACCAAAGGGTTTCAGTTTTTGTCATTTGTTGGTCCCACTATACATCCCCTTTATGATCTTGGCAGGGGAAAGCTGTACAACCTCCCAATTATGATAAAGAAAGAGCATATTTTCAAGAGGTTGATGCCTTCGAATTGCTAGAAGAAAGCCCCTCTCCAAAGAAACCTGGCACTTGGACCATGGGCAACCAAGTTGACAATGTTGTAATACCACATTTATCTTCTGTATTACACAAATGGTTGATCTCCAGGAAACTCAACCACGCATATTCATTCCCTGGATCGCTGTCCAAGATATTAGAGACTCCAGTATTATCCGAGGATCGTATTTGCCGTCCTGATAGCCTCTCCGGAGAAACACCCGGAAAAGACTCTGTGGGAGTTCATTCATGTTTGTATTCAATTCAGGAAAGACTCGAGTCAAGCTTGAATGATAAACAACTCTCTTCAATGCCTATTACGGAAGAGTGTGAGGACATTGAAGCTGCAGTTCGTAAACTCTCCTTGAGATCATCAGGGTCTTCATCATCACTGGAGGGCTGGAATTCTTTTTCAGCTCTTTTAACTGCCTGTGGGCAGTCAGTCCCTTCTACATTAACTGATATATTATCGGGTTACTGGTTAGTTTCTCTCCTTATGTTACTATGTATTTTACTCGCTTCTTATGTTTCTTTGGTTTTGAAAATAGTGATTTCTATCATATTCTACTGCTTTCCAAGGATTATTTTGTGCCGGCCAATATATGATTGACAAGGGACACAGATTTAATCACATGAAATGGGGGTCCATTTGTTGATTGATGCATCCTTCTTTCTCCTCCACTCGATTCTGTTTTTGTACTTCCCATACCAAATCTTATCTCCTTGATTATTCTATCATTATATTCTATTGCTTTCCAAGGATTATTTTATGCTAGTCAATTACTTCCTTATCATGCTTGAAAAATCTGTTTCTCTCCTTCTTGGCTATTTTGCCTCCTGTTAATTGCTTCCCATGCTAATTTCAAGAACAAAGAAAATTCGACAATTTCTTGATTCTCTTACATTTTGTATTTAAAGGGCTTACATTACTTGGGCTGCCTAAAGTCCAATCTCCCTAATTCACCGTCCTCTGCAAACGTAGTCGTTTGCAGTGTACTTTTAATGTAACATGAAAGTTCGCATAGGAAACTAGTTGAATAATATCGGTACATTCTGACTCGCAATATTATATGATTGACAAGGGACACAGCTTTATCAAATGCAACTGGGGTCCATTTGTTGATTGATGCATCCTTTTTTCTCCTCTTTTCGACTCGGTTTTTGTACTTTCAATGTCAAATCTTATCTCCTTGATTATTCCCTGAATATTTCATGAAAGTTATGCATGTGGAAACAATTATCATTATAATGTTGTGCATAATCTTTATTTCAATCTCTACATATTCCTCACGTCCTATCTTTTTTATGGAAATGAATGTCTGAGTTCAGTGGTCAAGAGACTATAACCAAGGTTGGTGAAGGAACGTATGGAGAAGCTTTTAAGGTTGGGAATAATGTGTGCAAAATTGTTCCATTTGGTGGAGATTTCAGGGTGAACGGAGAAGTACAGAAGGTATATATGTTGTTGCCCTAATGAAGATGGAAATGTTACGAAATTTGCATTGATCTTTATCAACTTCTCTGATAATATAATATACCATTTGGTAACTTCACTAATTACCTGGCTTTGCTCAAGGAGCCAAATTAAGTTCTCTTGATATGATAAAAATGTATTTGGCCAGTGAAAAACATGGTGGTTACCTGGTAAACGTTTGGTCTAACATGTTATGGCTGGGGCTTGTCATAATAAGGTGACATCCAAAAGCATTTGATTCTTGTGTAAATCAGTCTTTGAAAATGCAATGAGGAAAATCTGAAACCGACTTTGTTAGAAGGTCGATAATTTGGCAGTTCGTTTCCTATCTCTATTATTTCATAACTGACAATCAAAATGCTCATAGTTTTGTGTATTAGTTTTTTATTCAAGAAAACAATTTTTAATGTGTGTGATCATTTGGCTTGACGTGCTGAAGAAATCAGAAGAATTATTGGAGGAAGTTGTTCTTTCATGCACTCTCAATCACCTGAGGGGGAACAAGAGTGATGTACTGAATGCCTGCACTACATTCATACAAACAGTAGAGTATGTTTTCTCATCTCTCATCTCTGAATCAACAGAATTCTTTGGCCCTTTGAGTCTTAATGCTTCGTTGATAGTCATTATGTTGTTTTGGCTGGCTGTATCAGAATGGCTAGCTAGTGGAGGCTTTATGCTTTTGTGCTTTTTTTTTTCTTTGTAGAGATTGACATCCTACATTATATTTCCTTTGTAGTTTGAGGGTCTGCAAAGGGTTATATGACTCTGCTTTAATAAGTGCATGGGAAGACTGGGACGGGAAACATGGTTCAGAAAATGATCATCCAAAGGATTTTCCAGCAGATCAGGTGGGCATTTAATACTCGGGGGTAGATATTACATTGGAAAGTTCTAAGCCAAATCTTTTTTTTGTTAATCTTTGGTGTGCCCATCTGTATTTGCATACTAAATCAGCTATGACATTTGCTTTCAGTGTTATGTTGTTTTTGTTCAAGAACATGGTGGGCGAGATCTCGAAAGTTTTGTTCTATTGAATTTTGATGAAGCACGAAGTTTGTTAGTTCAGGTAAGGCCTCTGCTACATACATGTCATTGCGGTTGCATTAGATTATATCTATCTTTTACTATAGTCTATCTGATATGCGACAGGTCACTTTAGCATTGGCTGTAGCAGAGGCGGCATATGAATTTGAACACCGAGATTTGCACTGGTATAGTTATCATATTTTCTGGGGAGTTGTGGTATATTGCTCCCAGTTGCTGTAATTTTTCATTTTATTATGTCATCTGGGGATTTCTTTAACAGGGGGAACATTCTTTTAAGTCGAAAAGATTCTGGTAGTTTGCAATTCATTCTTGAGGGGAGAAAGTTACACATCAGAACTTTTGGGTTGGTCGTATCCATAATTGATTTTACCCTCTCAAGGATTAATACAGGTTTAACTTGAACTGTTGTTTCAACAGTACCGTTCAGGGGTTTGCAGAAATTAATATTGGAAATTAATTGCGTTAACAGGTGAAGATATACTCTTTCTGGACCTCTCGTTAGACCCAGAACTCTTTGAGGGTCCTAAAGGCGATAAACAAGTAAGAAAATAGTTGAAATTGGTTGTCTTGTACGTTCTTTGGCCTACAATCTGAAATATAGTGGTTTATGATGATATAAATGCAGGCAGATACTTACAGGAAGATGAGGGATGTCACTGATGAATGCTGGGAAGTAAGGTAACTGTTTCTAAGTTTATGTTTAACTTCCTTTACACATTAGTCAATATATACAGGATGGAAATGCTAGAAACGGAAAATGACTCCCCTGCACTCAACCAAATCTTATTTGCTGATCGATTTGTCGATTCGAACTTTTGATAGTTAGCTGTTATTAACTCAGCACAAAATCTGATCTGTATTTGTTTGTATCAATATTGGTCCCGCTTTTTCTCATATGCCTGAACTGAAAGCTGGATAATCTAAATGACTGAGTGATTTTATATCTATGATCATCTTTGTTCTTGAGGTTAGTTATTTCTTGGCTAATTTACAGTTTCCCCAAGACAAATGTGTTGTGGCTCCAGTATTTGGTCGACATTCTGCTCTTGAAGAAATCCTATGTAAGATCTTAGTCGACTACTGGCAGTAACGCGACGTTTTTTTTTTCTTTTCTATATCAACTAAACCTTTGCTTTTGCTCGATCTTGAATCTCTTCAGGAAAGAACCTCCAAGGATGAACGAGATTTACGTTCTTTCAAGAAGCGCTTAAATAGCTATGGTTCTGCCAAAGAGTGCGCCTCGGATCCGTTCTTCAATGACCTATTGATAGTCGGATAATGAAGCACAACTTAAAGTGGTGCTTGACAAAGGAAACTCTAGTTTAATTTCCTTAAATCTCCCTTTTTGTATTTGTAACATTTTTAATCTAGGCCTGAGAGAAAGACTAGAGACTCAATGGTGCTTGGAGAATCACTAGCTGCATTTGCATAACTCGTTCTTGATTTTTATTAGTATGTTATTGTGTTATAAATATAATTGAATCTATTCTTGGTTTGCCTTCTCCATGATAACAGTATTTTGAGACTCCGAGACAAAACAAAACATGAGTGGTGCTTGACTTTAGCCTTGTTAAGCACAGAAAATCTGATTGGCAGCCCTATACGGCTATACCTTTTAATCGTGATATAACATTTAACATAGTAATAGCTATTATAACATTTAACATTGTAATAGTTATTACGACATTAAAAAAAAAAGAGAGAGAGAGAAAGAAAACCTAAACTAAGCATCTAGAAATTACATAGCATAAAAAACTAGATTAGAGCAATTTATTTTTTTTTTTGAAACAATAGATTTTATAGCTCAAATAGAAAGATACAATTCGGGTTAAGAAACTCATACAAACATTCAAAAAGAAAATGGAGTGGCACCCCAAAGCGCACTAGAACCTACAAATAAAAAACATGATAATCTATTCTCGTCATTGACCAGCAAAGAGACCCAAAGCTGGTTTGCAGGATCACCTGATGCACCTCAGTCGCTCGGCCCATCCTTTCGTCATTTTCGGCGACAAACTCGAGTCTTCTTCTCTTCGACCCTTCTTTCTAAATGGAAAACAAAGGCACTGAAAATCTCCACCCCTTGAATTGTTCTCCAACTTTCCTCTAGCTACAGACTCGATCGCTGTCTTCTCAAATGGCGCTTATGCCTTGCTGTCGAAATGACAGAATTAGAGACAAAGCTACAACCACTGCCCTAGATGGCCTAGTTGTAGCAACTAACTAATCTAACCAAGCTAAACAACAACTGGAGAAAGGAAAAACAACCAAAAGACTAAAACAAAGTAAAGAACAACTAAACTAGAGGAAACAAGATAACACCAACAACAGCAATTGACAACATCAGACAACAATAACAAGAGATCCAGAGCACAGTTGAACAGAACTAGGGCACACCAACCTCAAAGCCTTGCAATTCCTGCAACCAACCTCAAAAGCCACAGACCCAAAGCTCAACACCATAAACACCAGTAACCGCAGAACCATATTCCAATACCAACCCATATCTCCAAGAGCAGAGTCATAGCAGAGTCACCAGAAAGCACAACACCATAAGCACCAGAAATCCACATCCATCAAATAACTGGAGTCTCCCCACCACTCAGAACCACAAAAACCACTAGAGAGATTAAAAGAAATGCCACCAAACTCATCATCAAAGTCAAGAACAGATAGTACTCAGCAAGATAAACGGGAGAGAGAAGCAGTATATTCATTCCAATTACTCAAAGCAGATTGCACAATGAAAACAGCAGGTTTTTTGATTCTTTGAAAGGTCCAGAGGTTCCTTGCTTTCCAGATTTCCCACAAGATGTACACAGAGAGTTGACGCCTGTCAATAGAAGTAGAGGAGTGATTAACTGTACAGATTTGAGTCCACTAGTCTTTGAAAAATGAAGTGTCTAAAGATTGTCCATCCCAGCAAAAGGGTGACAATTTCCAGACAGTAGAAGAGATGGGGCAATTCAGAAGAAGGTGTTCTATAGTTTCCACATCCTCACCACAACATTTACAAGTTGGGTCCAGGGCCATTTTCCTTCTCCAGATGTTACCAGTCATAGGAAGTGTGTTTGACACACATTTTCAGAGGAAATCCTTCAGTTTCCCTTGAATCTTAAGGGACCAGCTTTTTTTCCTCATCCCTGCTAATGGTTTCTGATCTTTACTGCTCTCAGCAAGGTCCAGAGCAGTCCACTTATCTTTCATTAAGCTTGAGTAAGCAGAAGAGACGAGAAGGGTTTACCTTTGCCATCACTATCCCACACAAGCCTGTCCACTCCATTAGGATCAAGATACTTGATTTTAAGAATAGCGGCAGTTTCCCTGGGGAAAAAATAGAGTGAAGAGTGTATGTGTTCTGTCTCCTTCCAGTCTCATCAATTAGCTCACTAACCCAGGTTAGGTTGCTCTGGCCTTGTGCACTTGTGATTTTAGGAATAGAGGGGATCCATGGTTAATTCCAGATATAAATGCTCCTGCCATTCTTGATGTAAAATCTCAATCCTCCATGTTGAGTGTTCTTCATAAGAGAGTCCCTCACCTCTAGCCAACTGTTCCACAACCATGAGTTGTTCTGCTTTTTTTTTTTTTATATATTAAAGAAGTTGTCATTATGGAAGTACCTTACCTTTAGAACTTTGCTGACAAGAAGGTTATGATTTGAAAGAATCCTCCATATTTGCTTGGTGATGAGTGCTTTATTCATGATGTGGATGTCTTGAAACCCCAATCCTCCTTGTGGCTTTTGGCAATTTAACTGTGGCGTTTGGCAATGTTTGAAAACCTAGCTTTCAGCTTTACCATTATCATAAGGGCTTGAGTGTTTATGAAATAATTTATTCAAAATGAGTTATTTTGGTTCACCATAGTTAATTTTGAAAAATGTGGTATAGTTAGTTGTGAGTGGAATTTTAAGAATGAATTAATAATATTTAAAATAAAATAAATAAATTGATTTGATGTAAAAGTAGGAGATAAATGATAGGAAATGACAGGTATGGTGATCTCATTTCCCCCTATCTCTTTGTACTCTGCATGGAACGATTGGCGCAGCTCATTTGCCAGACGGTCGATGGCTTAGCATGGCGACCAATCACAGTCGGTAGGGATGCGGTCTCAGTGTTGTTCTTGATGTTTGCGGATGACCTCCTTCTTTTCTTGGAGGCCTCAGATGAGCATGCACTGATTCTCAAGCAGGTTCTTGACCACTTTTGTTGCCTCTCGGGACTCAAAGTCAGCTCGGAAAAGAAGACAGTATTCTTCTCGCGCAATGTGGAGCTCGAGGAGCAGCGTCTCCTAGCGGAGGTCTTAAACTTCAAGTGGACAGATAATCTGGGTAAATACTTGGGGATGCCGGTTATCCATGGCCGAGTGAAAAAGCAAACGTATGCTCACATTATAGAGAAGACAGAGTCATGGTTGAATGGATGGCGCATGCGTCTCCTTTCTAGGTCTGGGTGGGACACACTAACCCAGTCTGTCTTAAGCACGTTACCTTTCTTCTCCATGCAATCAACTCTGCTTCCTTGTTCCATCACGGACGGACTGGAGAAACGTAGTCGCGCTTTCATTTGGTGCAGTTCTGCCGACCAACAGAAGATTCATTTGGTTCTATGGCGGGAAGTCTGTAAGCCTAAGGATGAGAAGGATTGGTCATCCACGACCCCCGTCGTATGAATCGAGCACTTTTGATGAAGCTACGATGGGGTCTCTTGACAAAGCAGGACTCGTTTTGGGCCCAGGTCCTGATGGTTAAATATAATATTCGTCCTTCGATTAGGCTGAATACCCTTCATCACCATCGAGGGTCGGTGTTGTTGCGCGCCCTCAACAGCATTTGGCCCGATGTCGTGAGAAGTGCTCGATGGATAATTGGTAATGGAAAAACACTCAGATTTTGGCTTGACCCATGGCTCGTGACGCGACAACCATTGCTCAATTATGCTTCCTGACAGCCGCCTGAAGAGCTGCTCCATTTAACGGTTGCCAATTTTGTTGATTCGTATGGCGGTGGAAGTGCGACTGGTTCCATAGGATTCTTCTCTCCTCAATCAACCTCCGTATCGCAGGTATGCTTCCTCCGGCTTCGACGGCTGGTGCGGCCCACATGGTGTGGTGCTTCTCCCACGATGGACGATTTTCCACCAGGACCGCTTATAAGGCGTTATCACAGTCTGATCGCGATCCCGATTAGCCTCTCTGGGAAATAGTTTGGCGTATGGATGCTCCACAAAGAACCCAACATTTTATGTGGTTAGCCGCTAAAGGTCGGCTGTTTACAAACGTCGAGCGTGTTCGAAGGCATTTATCCTCCTCAGAAAATTGCGACTTGTGTGGAGACAGAGAGACAGTTTTGCATGTACTTCGGGATTGCCCAATCGCCACGAGCATGTGGATTAGATTGTGCCCAACTGCCCATGTTCGTGATTTTTTCCAACAACCTCTACGAAGTTGGTTGCGCCGGAATTTAGTGAGGAGTCGGGGTGATCAAGTGCATAACTTGGGAACCCTTTTCGCTATTGCTGTATGGAAACATGGGGTGGCGGAATGATTGGATTTTTAGCCAACGAGTTCTTAGCTGCGGCGGACGGTGCTTGGAGGTTACTCGACTAGCCGAGGGGTACGGCCGTGCTGCAGCAGCCTATGCGCAGTTCGGAGCCACTATCCACATCACTCGTATGATTCGCTAGGCTACGCAAAAGTGGGGATAGGTAAAGCTAAATACAGTTGGAGCTGTTGATATTCCCACGGGCCTCAGTAGTGCCGGCGGGCTGATCCGTGACGAAGTGGGAGCCTAGGTTGAAGGATTCTGCATGAATATAGAGTGGTGCACTATCAGGGGGGCGAGCTTGGGGTCTCTTGCAGGGATTACAGATGGTTTGGGATCGGGGCTTTCGACGAGTCTTAGCCGAGGTAGATAGCAAATGCATTACCCAACTAGTCCTTGGTTCTGAGGATAACCTTGGTTGTCATGCAGCGGTTATCTCAACCATTCATTGCTTGGTCCATCTGGATTGAGATGTTAAAATCCAACATGTGCATAGGGAGGCGAATTTTGCAGCAGATCATATGGCAAATCTAGCGTCCTCTTCCCCGCTCGGTTTACAGCGAGTTTCTTCCCCTCCCATTGGCCTGAGACCCTGGCTCGACCACGACGTTATGGGGGTGTCCTATCCCCGCCGTGTTCTAAACTAATTCTCTTTTAGGCCTTCAGCCTCCTTCATTGTACAAAAGAAAAAAAAAAATAGAAATGATATGTAGTTAAGTTTTGTGAGTGGA